ATATATGTATATATATTTATGTATATATTTATGTATATATATATATATTTATATATAAAAGTTGTATATATTTGCTTTTAAAAGAAAGAGAAAAGAGTTCTATATTTCATTCATGAGGTAGTTTTACCTCGGAAACTGAGAAATGAGATTTCAAAATGTCGCAGTATTTAAATAAATAAATATGGATTGGGTATTCTAAATTAAACATTTTATAATTTGGGGTTATGTTTGTTAACTGTATTTTTTAAATAAGAGCAAAAATCATATATATAGAGTTTAAACGTTTAAATAGCAAAAATACCATTGAAGCTATGTATACAATCTACAACATACAAGTGATAAGCGAGCAAGCAGGTTTTTAAATATAGACCAACACAGTTAATGAAAAGTAACTCCAGAGTGTAAGGTATGTCTGGTAAAATAGTGGACCTCCTGCCCTCCTCTCTATGCTCCTGCTCTCCTCTCTATGCTCCTGCTGACTCCGAAAAGTGTATATCTACTTTGAAATAATTTTTATTAGAACAGCTTTGAGGCTATGAGATGAGCCGCCCTTTGACTCCTATGTACGAGGTCTCTTGATTGAAGTGCTGAAAATATCAATTTTAGAATTGCATACCAACCTAGTGAGTAATTTTAAAAATTTAAATGTTTTTTAAAATCAAATTGTTCTATTTTCAGAAGGCTGTGCAATAATACTTTTAAAAAGAAATATATATCCTACTTCAGATTTTAAAGACCAAATTCAGCTTGTGACTCTGGTTCAGCATATACCAGATTTTATATATTTAAGCGGTATCGCCAAGCTTTGGGAGGTCATTCACTCACACTGGAGTTTATGAAAGTGCGGGTGTGTGTCAATAGATTAAACACAGCGATCAGACGAACAACATATACAACGAACTGTGATTGTTGAGTTTATCCAAAATGCAGTTATCCAAGGCTACACTTGTATTGGTAGCAGCTTGTCTACTTGGGTCCACCACCCAAGCTCAGGTTGTAGGAGTAGAAGGTGATAGAGCCGACGCGGCCCCTGTTGCCGGAGAGAGTATATGTTGCAAGCGCAAGAGAGAGGGCAAACTTGTCCCCCGATCTTTCGGAGTCATAACCCGTAAGTGTAACACTTTTACCTGTCCCGAAGGATATGGTGCTCTTTCGGTAGAACTCCAAGATTCAACCGTGTGCACAAATGGTTGCAACGTTGATACCTGTTGCACAGGTACTGGTGATTTGCCAGTTAATACTGATAACATATCTGCACCAGCAAGCACTTCACCGGATATAACACCAAATGACAGTCCCGACACCGAGTTCGCGGATGAATTCGTTATGGGTATCAGCGGAGAGAGCTGTGAGGATGTCTGTACCGGTCGAGGTCAGATTTGCAATGTTGATACTACAGTATCAATGATACGCGCGGCATGGACAGCTGGTGGGGATGCTAGCGCAGTGGTAGGTATCATGGAGCGTAACGGGGGCGAATGCCCCAACGGTCACAACAATGAGGACTACTATTCACTACCCGGAGTTGGTAATGGAAACTGTGAAGTATCAAATAACTATGGAACAGCAGATGGAACAGTTATGTTTAATTGTGCTGGCAAGTTCGACACTGTCGAACGTCTGTGCTTCTGCAATGCTGCTAACTTTGTGGCACCGGCAGCTGATGCAACGGTTGCTCAGGCACCAGTTGAGGTACCGGTTCAGGAACCAGTTGACGAGGCACTAGCAGTTGAGGAACCAGCAGTTCAGCAACCTGTTGTCGAGGAGCCTACCTCC